TCAAATTTAAAGCCCTAAGTTCTTGGCAATAACAAATGGTACATTATTGATAGTTGCATTGTTTATTCTGTATAATAAATGAATGCCACATAAGCAGCTTTAAATATTCTAACATCAGTTTTACAGCGATTTGTAGCAATAGTAAAGATTATTCCTTCCTTCGAGCAACACTGCCAGACTGAAAAAGACTCTGCATTAATTTGTCTCATTTTGTGTCTTTGTGTTTGCTTTGCGTGCCTTTGTGGTCATTCTTCATCTCTTTGCAACAGCTTAACATAGTTAAATCATCATTGTTCTTGAGAAATATTGACTAATATATTTCTGTTAACAAAGTAAAGTTAAAATAAATTAAATTACATAAAGACTACTACAAATAGCAGTGTTTTTATTCATCAGCTATGGGAAGCTATCCTCATCTGGTTTGAATAATGATCCACCTCCCATCAGCTCTTCTTTATGGTCGTCTCCTCCTGCTGAAGTCAACCTCCAGATGTTGGACGCAACCTTTCAACATTCCAACTACTAGCCTACTAACTGCCCTTACAAATATACACACATACATTGAAGGTCGCACACACACAAGGAAGTTCAAAGCTGTGCCAGAGGGGAGCAGGTGGCCAGAAACAACACGCTGTAGGTCTATCGGGGGCTACAGCCTGAATGTTCAAACTCCATTCATCCAGAGATACTGGCCAGGAAAACAGAAGCTCCATAGCCATGCTGTATTATATGTGCACGTATTGTATATGGCTTTGAACTTTAATTTTATTATTGCATATGGCCATACATAGTTATATTGAGATGTTCTTATTTTTTCTTTTGTATTGTTTATGTTTATTTATGTTGGCCAGAAGCTTATGTCTCATTTGTTTTTATCCAAATTGAATTAACTGTTCTTAATGTAGGTATCTGTATGTGACTATTTTTCATAATTCTCACTCATTAATTAATGTCACAAAATCCCATGTTTTTTATAAAGATAATAGTTTTTGGATTTTTTTTAGTTTTTTGGAATCATAATATTACCTCAGTATATTAATATTATGTTAATAGTATAACAGCATACTTTCACTTGCTGCCCAAGAGATGCCAAGAGTTTACCTTTAAATTCATCTAGAATTAAAGGACCAGTGTGTATGATTGAGTGATGTCTAATGGCAACCTGGGAAAGAGAAAGGGCTGTGAAGTGTGTAGGAGAAACTAAAAACGGCTCATATGGTAAAGAAAAATGAAAATGTTACTTACCTAACCTTTTGCATTTAGCCCCCTGAAACACATGTGCATACTGAATGTACAATAATTCAAACTGTTCTACTTGAGGGGAGAAAAACAAAGAAGTAATCTTTTGTTCTGCCACACTCTAAAGAAGCAAAAACCAGTCTAGTCTAGATTCTTTGCCTGTGAACTCATTCACTAATTCAAGACAAGAGGGCCTTCCCAGCAGTATGAGTGGACAGAAGGTTGTCAGCTAAAATAGAAAGTGCATGCTGTGAGCCCCGTTCTCAAATGAACACATCTGTTAGCATAACTATTTCTAAAGACAGAACACTCCCCTGCCCTTCTGGTCTTAATCACGTTCTCGTACAAATGTGCACATACAAAGACTCACACAGAGACAGACATGCACAACGTCCCCGCTTTTCCCAGCCAACATTTTGACACAGAATAGACCTTGACCACAGCCTGCACTTAAGAGTAAAACATGCAGTCCCAAAATGAAAGTTGAGATGATGTCTCCAGTCGGGCCTTGCTACCGGCATTATTTTCTGGCCTTAAAATCCTTCTAAATATGTTCAAAAGAGGTTCCAATCTTGTTTAATATGAATATTTAACACTTAATGTATCTCATTAAATGTTTGTGATAATTTGGACCACAAAGTAGGGATGAGGCTGATGGGAATGTCATATTTTGACGGTATTTGGCAAAAAAAAAATTAACTATTGGACAAACTTTGACCTGGCAATGGTGCTATATGTAAAGTCAGAGGATCGCAAAAGTCATTCGGATCGCAAAAGTCATTCGGATCTATCTTCTGGGTACCACAACTTTCTGTATAAAATGTCATGGCAATCCATCTTATAGTTTTTCAGGTATTTCAGTCTAGACCAAGACTGATTGTCAGACCTGTGTTGCCATCCCTAGAGCCTCACTGCTGGCAAAGCTACAAAGAAAAGAAATGTATGTAAACCGAGGGAGACATGGACACTTCTGCACGTCACAATCCTTCAGATGGTTGTTGGATTTGTTTTTATTATTTTTTTATATTTATCCTTGTACCCTTACTCCACACACATACAGATAATTTCCCTACTGTTCCTCTCTCAGCTGGACTGAACACATAAAAGGACGACGAAACACCACATTCTGTCCTCCATCAGTCCTCCAAATCCTGTCAGAGGCTGAGATGAAGTGCTCTTTCTCCCCAATTTTACTTCAAAATCTGGATTCAATAAATCCACTGATCTTCAAAAACACCCAGAGCCCCACTTATGCTGACACACGCATGCACACAAACTTATAGGCTACATGCATAGAGACTCAAACAGACACACGGCCAAAATAACCACAAGGTCGCCTATACAGGCAACGATCATCCATCATACAGACGGACCCATGCAGACATGGAAATATGCACATACTAAGAAACAAACAAAACTGATGTGAATTTGAAGCATGGTATAGTATTTGGAGTATATATAAGACCCAAATTTAAAGAATCAGAGGCAGTACTGATAAAAGTGAATAAAAGAATAATCTGTATTTCTGTCTGTGTGGTGATATCTGTTTTTCCTGTCTCTTCTGGACAGGAAGGTGTGGTAGCCTCATAAATGTTATCAAGGATTTACACCTGTGCTTTGACAGTCGTGACAGTTATATAAGGATTCATTATAATAAAGGTAAGCTGATTATTTTTTGTCTCATACCTACCATTTAATATTTCCATAAGGACTTAAATAGAAATATTGAATAGGGTGCATTAACTTTACAAACAAAGTACCAGTAATAAATACTAGGTCAGTTATGCCTATGTGTGGGACTGATTGGAAACAGTTGGAGGAAACTGGAGGTAGCTCTATATCGCCTCTCAAGTATTTTACACACACACACACACACACACACACACAAGCACAGTTAATCCCATACAGTTTCAATAAAAGCACACGGTTCACAGTAATGCTTTGATCTCTCCTCTCTCTCCATCCCATGCTGTTTAGAGACATAGATCCTGCAGTTACATAATGACCCTCCTCTACACTTGGCGCTACCCCTGTGTTGATGTATGTAGCCTATATGTGTGTTTGGAGTAGTGTTTTCCCAGACTTACAAGAGAAGCCCTCTCTGCCCTGGGCTCCAATCATTCCAAACCAGTTCATGTCCTCCAAACATCAGGCAGGAATCCAGCAGCTTCACCGTCTGGATAAACAGGTTCGGAGCACTGTGGAATGGTTCATAAAACCTCTGCCAATCCCCTCCACAATCCTTGTTTCAATCTCCACACTGAGCTTTGAAAGAGCTCAGACGCTCCCAGTGTAACAGGCTTGGAGGAAAGAAGCACTGGAGGTTTCTCTCTGATGGCCATGGAGATGCATTAATGGGGTTGTATGGACTGCAGGGTGATTCTATGTGCCTTGTTCACTCGGAGGGTGTGGGAAAGCAAAAGAGACCTGCATGGTGCTATGGTTTCCTCCAAAACGTATTGCCTATACAGGCAGTGGCTTTGTTTGATAAGGGGCACTGTAATCATCGACCCAGTCCTTTCTAAACGGACGACATGTGTCCATTATCATTCATCATTGTTAAATACCACAAAAATGGCATTTGATTTCCAGGTGCTAATGAAAAAGTGAAAGTGAAATAATTGAAATATTTCCTATCTATTGTGCACAGCTGCACGTAAGTATATTTACCTTTGCAATAGTAGTTGACCATTGAATTTGAACCAATTTAACTGTCTTATTGAAAGTATATAAAAGCCGATATCGTAAAAAAATATTTAAAACATTTGAAAATTTCTATATCCAAGATTTTAATACATGATAAAAATACTAGACAGACAGATAAATGGTGCAAGAAAAAAACTTAAGAGAAATCTCAGCAATCAAATGTGGTGCTTTACTGCCACCTACTGAGCCTTCAACATCAATGCATCTTGTTAAATTTTTAAATACTTCATTCTTTCAGTATTTGGTATCAATCTAGAACGTCCACTGCATTACCATTGCTTCAGTGCTATGTCTGTGTACTCCCCAGACTGATAAATCAAGTCGCATACATAGATTGTTATTAAGATTATGATATAACTTATATCTTTATTAACAGAGCACTACAACATAAAATTATATATATACAAGTATGTATTATCAGCAAATTTAGGTAACAAGTACTCACTCTGCAAAATGTTCCCTGTCAATGTTTTTGTTTTAATCTTACTGATGCATTAATGTATGTTTCACTTTACTGCTGTAGGTGCTAAAAGCTGTGGTAATTTGAATACTGTTGGGTAGATTAATCTACAGCAGTGCATACAATTCTATAAGCAGTGTTGGGCAGTAAGGCATTATTAGTAATAAAATGACTTCCCCCAGTAACTAATTAATGTCAGTACTTATTGATTACTGTTGGCAGGGAATAAGTAATATTACTTTTGAAAAGAGTAAGATATTTGAGTAACTAGCCCAACACTGTAATCGTATGTGAGAAAGTAAACTTTTTAATCTAAGTATAAAGTTGCATAAAATGGAAATAGTCAAGTACATCAAAGTTAAGTATAATAATTGAACTTAGTTACACCTAAACACAGGCAATACTGACTATTCGTTCATATTTTTTCATATTGTCTGTTGTTTTGTGTCCATCTGTTGGCAGCTAAGTTCAAGGTGAAACCCAAGTAACCCTCACTAATTTGTTCAGCTCACAGTTCATTTCTTTTTTGGGGTTTTTCTGAGTTTCATTAAGGCATTTGTCATTTCAGACAAAATAAAAACAGCTGACAAATGTCTTACAGCTGGTAACATCTGAATGAACTTTATTTTGCCTAATAAAAACAAACAATGTTGTGATTTTTAAGACAGCAGCCATACATTAGTAAGAATACAGAAGAGAGGAGCCCATGTATCTTTATGTTGTTCCTCAAGGTCAGATTTCCCTTGATTGTTAAGATCAGACATTAAAGGGAGAAAGAGACCTGTGCCAAGCTGGGGAAATACCTTAAACCGCATTCCCCAGCATACAACAGGAACATACAGCACACAAGACTGAGTAATTCACCCATTCCCTGTTTGAACATAAAACACTGTACCTGTGGTCTAAACATACAAATAAACTGTTTCTTGCAAGAAAAATGAAGTAGAGTAAGTAGAATACTGAGAGAAAGAGAAAATGTGAAGCTAGATTTCTTTGATGAGAGGCACCAAAGAGAAATAGGAAATGTAACATTCTTCAACATCAGAATAATATAGACTTGTGAGACAGATGAATGAACATTAAAAACAATTATGATCTCATTTATTATCCTCACTGCTGACACCTTTAAAGTAATACATCTCCTAACACTCTCTTTGGAGCCCTGAGAAAGTCTGCCCTCATGACACAGACCTCAGTCATTTTGCAGATGTATCCCCAACAGTTTCTGATGCTAGATCAGCATGAAGAACCAACAAGGACAGGACCCCCTTATAGTGTAAACATTTTCTCAAACAGAATCAGAGGTCAGTCCCATAATCCCTCTCTCAAAAGGTTGAGGATCTTTGACAAGATGCGTGGTAGTAATTAGAACTTCATATCAGAAGCCAGAGCAGCTTAATAATTGGAGGGAACTGAGGGGAAGTAAGGAGTCAATTTTCATGCGTCTGACATTGGTTGTGGACACATGCAACAGGACACAAATATGGCTTAAGAAAGACTAGTCTTCGGTTAGGGCTGTGGAGACTGAAGGAGAAACCTCATATCATAACTATTCAAACTGCACAACTGATCGAATACTGGCATTTGGATGCTTTTGGAAAGCTTTTAAGGAAAACCATATACTTGAAACAAAGTCTGGCTTTCACCATGGACATTTTTGCAGTCAAAATAAAGGACAGAGCACAATTGCACTGTGTGTTCTGGCTCACTGGTAAAACTAGTTTAACTTGTACAGCTTTGTTGATTAGCCCAAAAGCATGGATTCCTGCAATTTGCATACAACAGGTTAAGTTTACACACAGTCTTTGGGATCATCACTCCAAAGAATGATAAATTGAGGCTGAAGGGCAGCATGCTGAAGTTGTTACAGGATTTATGTGCTTATGGCAAGCAGGGACTTGTCTTGCATGTGCCCCTATTTTACACAGAATGTCACTTATCCCACAATGTTTCTACTATACCACTGCCTTCTGCACCTTTATATGCAAATCAAATGCTTTTGCTTCCTGCTTAAAAGAAATGAATACTCAATGTGACATGTAGTAGTACAGTCATGTGGCTTTCACCTTTGGCCCTTGTTGTGCTGTTTTGTACCATATGTGAACATCTAAATGGCTAGGGGGAAGAAGCCAGAGATGGAAGCCACTGTTGCAAAATACCAGAGCTCCTAACGTCACCACAAACTGAACAAGAACGGAATGATAAAAAGTAAAAAAAAAAAAAAAAAAAGTGGCGAACTTAATACACAATACTACATTCAGTGGATTACTTTGGTGTTTCGACGAAAGTAAAAAATACTTTAGGTGGACTGAAATCAGAACAGAAACAGACCAACTGCAGCTGTACAAAAGACAACTTGAAGCTGGACAGAATACCTTCCTATGTCCATATTACAATCAGCATGTTTACATGCATTTAAGTAACCTGATTATTGTCAACATTTGGCAGTAATCTGATGTCATAAACAACATATAAACCCTTTCCTTCCCCTGGTGTAAGTGATTGAGGGATTTCTGCTATTTCTTGACCATGCATACGCTTAACTGAGTATGCAACAGGGTTTTTACAAGAGCACAGGTTCATGACCAAAACTTGAAATTAGAAAAGTATTGCTATGACAACACTGCAGAAGGTGAAATGATCACAACTCACAGTAGTGCATCCTTGTAGCCAAAATCCAAAGTCAAAGTCAGACTTAAAAAAAAAAAAATAAAAAAAAAAGTAATCTCCACAGTTAAACAGCAGGTTTTTTGTAACATTAACACATGCACTCTTGAAAAAAGATGGCTACTTCACTAGTCTGTCCTCCTCACTGCATGATCAGTCCAACTGCTCGGATCAGAAAAAAAACAAACAAGGAATACAAAAAAAAATAGAAAAAAATAAAATAAAACAACAAAAAAAAAAAAAACCTCAGGCTGCAGTGCTTGAAATATATTGAAAATACACGTCAATAGTTTCAGTTTCAATTTTATGGTAGGAGGTAGGGGAGGAAACTGAATATCTGCATTTACATGCAGACTCTACAGCAACCACATTAATGTAATACATGTAAACGCATTCTAATTTCCTGCAATTACCAGATGTCTCCCAATAACAGTTTTTTGTGTGGATGTAAACATAGCAAATAACCATTCAGCATAATTTCATAAAAACCCCTGTGAGCCACAATCCAGAGTTCAAAGTCGCAAAACACTTAAAAATCCCATTTAATTGCAAACAAACCTACCACCCCGCAAATTTACCTTCTATAACTAGTTTGCCACCCTCAACACAAAATATAGCTCATCTGTAACACTCATCTATTCGGTTCTTGAGCACCAATGTCTATCATGACAAGACTTTGACAACCCACAGCAAACCTACCACCTACATTTGGCTACATCTGATAAGACTTTAAATGGGTTTAATTTCCACTATTGCATGCCAATAAGTCATTATCTTTAGCATTGTGACGATGCAACATATATTTTTGAACAAAGTTGTATTGCTGAAATTAAGCTTTAAGATACAATTGTTTTAAGACTATAATGTTAAAAGGTTTTCAGTGTTTTGTTCTTTCAAAGTCATTTTCTATACATTTGTCAGCTCATAAAGGCCTCAAGTGAAAAGAAAGTTTTATAGCATAGGAGAGAAAATGGCCCCACCCAACTACCCTTTGTCCAGGCCTGTTCTGCTTCAGAATGGCTGAGACAGCAGTTTCCCGCTACACAAGGCCGATCTTATTGACACCTGGCTAGATGCAGTAGAAATCCTGCCATGATAGTTGGAATGCAGATTAAATAAAATGTTGCTGTTTACATAAACTCATAGCTGCTAAGGCATGTGTATACAAGTCAACTGTCAATTATAAGTGCGTGTAAATGCATATGTTTTAATTGTCAAAAGCAGAAAGGCATATTCTGGCGACCAATGAAGTGTTTAAGTTCTCTGAACAGTGTATCAAGTAGAGAGCATACTTGGTGTTCAGTCAGCCAGTGGAGATTAAATCATTTAGGGGAAATTTTAAGTTGAAGGCAAGGTGCAGCATCTCAATGGTAAACAAGCCTTTCACATCCAAATCAAAAGCTTCATATTTTCATCAAGAGATAAAAGCAATAACAAACAATAGAAGAGGAAGGGGACAGGAATGATTCTACAAAACAAGTAATACAAGATAAAAGCACATTCACCTATACTCTAAAAAGAATGTTATGACTTGCTGGAATATTGTTATTAGGAATTCTTGGAATAATATCAGTACCCATTGCAAAGTTAAGCTGTGAAGGGTGAAGAACTTCATTGATTGAAGAGAATGCCAGTCTGCCCTGAGCCCAAGGTACAGTTGAAGAAGCTGACCCAGTTCAGTTTCCGGATTTCAGCTGACCAGCAGAGAAACTGGTGGAAATGTGTGGTGAAGGCCAGTAGCTTTGGTGAGGCTTCAAAGCCATAATGGAGAAGAGTGTGAGGTCTCCATAGTTGTCTCAAACATATTTAAGAAGAAGACTTGATGCCAGTTACTTGCTCTTCATTTAATGCTTTCGTCACAGAGACCTGAAAAGGGAAGACGGAAAACATATTTTTTTAAATTGAGGACCATTTGTCTCAAGTCACATTTTTCTGCAGAGTAATGGTCCCTTTAATCAGCCTGAATTTCAACAGCCAACTTGTTGAGTTGACTTGCAAAATTTACTAGCAAAGACAATCTGTCTTTAGATTTAATAAATTCAGTAATGCAAATAAATAAACTGAGCAGGTGCAGGTACTTAAGTTCTTTCCTTCTAGTTATACCAGGGTGTACCAATCCATTGATTAGGAGCAATGTATCGATTTAAGGAAAATAAAGCAATCTATATTGTAATCTTTAAAATAGGACACATCGGTGCCACCTCCCGATATTGAATGCTAACGTTTGTTATCCGTCACCATGTCCGTATACGTCTTTTTATGAAAGCTGTAACAACGCTTCCGACAGTTTCGAACTTAATTTGTATACAGACAACTAGGTTACTGCAGGGAGTTTATTTTCTTCCTCCCCCTAATCCTCAGCTGTATTTCCAACATTAGATCAAGTGGATAGGGTGTTGCTGCTGGCTCAAAGAGTGTCTGTGACTAAAAGGGAGCATTTCTGACAGTAAATACAATTTTATGCCAATGATATCGCTGTATTATAGCGATATTTTACCTCATAGTTTGACGTTTCTAAAGCACATTAAGAGTTACAGGTATAAATTACAACTTCTAGTGGTGCTGCGCTGCTGCAGGGACTAAGTGGAAGTTAATCCCAGCGACAATACTCTTAATCTCACAGCAGGGAGATACTGCGAGCCAGAAGAAAAAAATAAAATAAAAAATCATAACTTTAGAATTTGTCTTGTGTAAAAGGGAGGGAGAGTGTGAGGGAAGACTGTTTCACATTGACAGCTCCGTTTTAACTCCTCCCTTCCTCCCTTCTGCCATTCAGACCTATTAGTGACTGCTTATATTTGCCACTGTCAAGACGGCTGTCAGACTCGGCTATCCCAGTCATGTAGCAGGAATAGGATATTGTCACATATCGATCCCACCCCTGAATCAAGAATACCAACCAAAGAATCGATATTGTACTGTGATGAAACTGGCAATTTAAAAACCCTAACTTGTACCTCGAAACTAGAAGATAAGTGGTAAATCAAGCAAACGGTGGTATAGTCCTACATTAGTCCACCTCAGTTCAAAGCACAAAATTATGAATATAGAAACTCTCAGAGCAACCCATAGAATAGGAGGTGCAGGAAGTCAACTGATTATTGTCAGGTGCAGCTCAGACACTTAACACACCGTTTAAGTAAATATTCTGGAAATTTACTCTGACTACATGGAAAAGCAACATATGAAAAGACAATTAATCTAATTAACCATTTTTCCAGTTGCTCAAGTTCAGCCACTATAAGTGAACCCGTTTGTTCGCCATTGGGCCACAGAAAACTCACCATAAAATTATCTCCATTTTTGTACTTGGTCTCAATTTCTTTTCCCATGTCACCATCTGGCACCTTAAGGTCCTCTCTGGTTCCTCCATTGTCATCCATCAGGGACAAGTAACCATCTGTGAGGCCAATTACCTAAAGAATAAGCAATGTACAAAATGAAAGCCAGGCTAATAGGCAAAAACAGAACTGACAGCTGTAACAGAGACCAAAGGCATTACTGCATGTTACTGAGCGGCGTTATCAGCCCATTTACAAAAAAAGGACCATCATTATTCTAATGTGCTTTATGTGTCAATTTTCAGGATGACTGAATAAAACACTGAAATGTTTAATATTTAGTTTGGGTAAAATTAATTATAATACTGTTAGGTTACTCATTAGATTACTTGAAAAAAAATCTAATCCAGTTGAACAGGACTATGGTGGGGTGGCAGACATAAACTAAGGAAAAATGTTATTTACTAGAATTGTTTTCCAAATAAAAATATAGACAATACAGCACAAAGTTTGTTGAATAAAACTAAACAGAAAAATAAACCTAGTCTGCGTTTTCTGCTGGCCCAAAAGAGGCTTCCAATTAGGGAAGAACAGCCTGTGTTGGCCATGCCAAAACCTGTTCAACCAGTTCAAAACCTGTATAACCTTTCATAACTTCTGAAGAGACAGCTCAGCTCCGACACGTGTGGCACACCCCTTTAGTAATTGAAAAAGCATTCATTTTTTCACATTGCCTCATTAAGATTAGGCTATAGTAAATCCAAATTATGCAAAATTGGTGCACTGGTGGTCTAAACAAATAGCAAAACACCCTATACAGGCCAGGGGAAACAAGTGGCTTCCAGTACAAACTTTACACACACACACACACTGCAAATGCTGCATACCCCTTGGTGCCCCTAGGTTACAACAAGATATCCAACAAGGTCTTCTCACCTCATATTCTTTCCTTGTTACATTTGGGACATCCATGTTATGAGTAGACGGGCAGATATCTTCATACTTCTTCTGGGTAAAGATGTCAAGTCCAGTAAGGTGAACCTGGGAAAGATCACAACTGATTAGATCTGGCCTCGGGCCAAGTAAGCAATGTGAGTTACTTGTAAAACTGGAAAATGTCAGGCTAAATTACAAACGTGCACTAAGCTTTGCATTCCAGAGGATGCACAAGCAGGTTTTTTTACCTTCGCATGTCCGTGCTTGCCAGTCTTGGAGGTAGTCATTTCGACGATCTTGCAGGGACGTCCTTTCAGCAAGACATGCCCGTTCTTCCTCAATGCAGAGCACTGCATTGGGAATGTTGTGGAGGCCCCAGAGTCCCCAGTTTGGAAATCGAGATCAGCCATGATGGGCTACGGCTGTTTTATGTCACCCAAATGAGCAAAAGAAAACAAGAACATAAGTGACAGACAGTAGCACAACTTATAAAAAAGGATGGCATTAAGAGGCACTATTGCAAATATTTAAAAAAAAAAAAAAAATTAAAAAGGAATAATTAGGTTATTGTTGTGTGGTAGCTGGTGAGCACAGATTTTAAACACTTGATTTAAAACATACAACTATGACTACAAACTAACAGCTGTCAGAAACACCCTGTATCCTAGAGATGCTGCGCCTGCGTCGTCATGTTTAATATTTATTCCTAAAAGGAAGTGGACAGTAGCTGGGCCGTAAGTGCTTACAAATCAATAACCTGAAAGCAGAGAGGGAAATGTCAACTAGAACTGCTGTGCTGCACATTTCCCGACGTCAAAAAAAAAAAAAAATAAATAAGTGTGCTCCCAAGCCAACCCTGATACACTTGCAAAGTTCTAGCAAAACGTGCTTTAATGTCAACATTATTCTCCATACTTGTGTTGAAGCACTTCTGCAGGGTGCTGCAACAACATCTGGCTGGCTAACTACATGAAAAGCTAACAGCCGACGTTAATTGCTACTGTGTCGAATTTACTTGTACGCCATGTTGCGGCAAGCTCACATTTTCTTTTACAGAAAAATACCGGGTTGACTAGTTAAACACATTAGCTAACGGCAGCTTCTTACTTAAGTGCCTTGAAAAGGAAAAAGTAATCTAAAAAAAAACAATCAAAAAACGGCTCAAGTTAGCGTTAGAGTGGCTAGGCAGCTTTGGTTATGAGAGCTAGCACAACAGCAATAACTAGCTATGTTACGTGGCAGCTGGGCCAGATGAGCATCTTGCACACGGTAAGTCAGCTTAAAAACAGCGAGCTAGCTTTTGTTTTTGGGTTCCCACCTCTTCGTGCGGTCTGTCATTGTTAGCCAAGTTAGCTTGCCACGACCCACACCCACTGACACTGACAAATACTGCTGCTAACGGGAGCTAAAGTAGTATGCTAACTTCTTTCACTCGCTGGCCAAACATCGCCTCACTACTTTACAAGTTCCGGATTAACTACCGAGTCGACAAATGGCTTCCCAGTGTTACGCGTTCACTACACGGTAAACAACCGCTGACTTATCGTTACAGCGTTTGTAAAAAAAAAAATAAAAAATATATTTACTTAAAAGCCCCACAACGTTTTTGCTTACCTTGTGTGTGTTGCTTAAACCAAAATAAATAGCAGCTGTACTCACTATAACCTGCACAACTAATAACAGCAGGAGAGAAATGAAACTTATAATACAAAAAATGGCTGATGTCAAACAGAGTGAGTTAAATTTGTAGCTAAAGATGTAGGGGAAAGTAATTAATATGCATGTATAATACATATTTTTGAGGTACTTTTTTTGCTAGTTTTAATACTTTTTTATTTTATTCAGCTAAGTCACTTTACAATACAAAATTTTACCATACAAATAACAATCATATACTAATGATGCATAATATTAGATCAGTGAGGAGAGGAGAGGCGAGAAATTGTGTTATTGCCAAGTATGGTTTATATCACACCTATCTAAGGAATGTTCTCCTGGTCAATTTGGTGCCATGAAATTGCAAGATACAAATATACAATATAAAATACATTTCAATCACACAGGAAAAATAAAGTACTTTCAAATATAAATAAATATAAGATAAGAAAAGATAAGAAAAGAAAACTGTCAGAGACAGAGTGCATTAATGATTATTTG